TCTATTATGGCTGACATGCCTTGCCAAATCCTTGCATTTTGCCAGCAAATATGCCAAAATGCTGATAGCTCGGGGTAGATTTTGAAATTGCGCTTTCCTCCTTAGTGCCGCTTTGAAACTGGCAAAAATTGGCTTGTCGAACTGCCATGAACTGCCAGTCATCTTGTCACTGAGCCAAGAGCCTCGTTCATGCTCGCAGAGACTTGAGAGAAGAGCGGGGTGGACAGATAGCGCTCAGCTGTGTCAGCAATCATGGCCAACACCACCTGGGAATCCCAGCAGCAAATACCAGCAGCATCTTGGGAAAATGGATATGATACAGTGTTGTAAACTCTTGACCACGATGCTACAAAATCACAGTTTTTTGTCAAATACATTGATACATACTTTCGATCAGAAAGCAACCCCCGTGATTAATCAATATTAATTACGTATAATATGTTAGTATGGCGCTCTACCACGTTTTCTTTAGAATGATTGTCCCCGTATTTGGGTGAATTAGTGCCCCCACTTTGGGACAATTATCTCCATAATGGGTGAATTATTGTCCCCATCTACCGTGAGTTATTGTACCCTTAATTTTCCCAATTTTGGCGTCAAATATCCACAATATAAGAGGCCAATAATTCAACAGAAAACGTGGTTGAGCGTCATACCGTCATACCAGATGATTCTGCATAAGCAGCATGAACATACATTTAAATGGACTGTATGGGTGGGTCATGAATTAGACCACAACACATTCAGAAAATGAGGTCATTTGGAATGAGTGGATAACATTCGAAACCAATGAGTCTGAGCTAAGTCAGTGGAATGAAGGAGTTTCACACGTTTTGAGTTGAGTTGACTGAGTGTGAGAGAGTTTGTGATGATGATGACGACCAACCGTGCTGTCATGAGGGGTTTCAATGCCGAGCTGCCGATCCTTCTGGCGCCTTCTTTGCGATCTCTATGGCTGCCCATGTTGAGGCACCTCCTGAAATACCTGCCACTACGTGCAGGGTAAGAAAGATATTGACAAATCAATACAAATCATGAAAAATGAAGACCCGAAATGGTCGAAATGACCCAAACATCCCAAACGTGTAAGGGCCGCACCTGTGAAAATGCCCTGGGTGGTGCACAGCATCATCGCCATTTCAATGGCACCACCACTTGGAATTGGCACGTACTCGTCGAAGCCCAGCTCCTTCACCCCATCTTCTGCCACCTGGCACGGTCTCGGTATGTCGCAGGCCGTCCAGGCCGTCCAGGCCGTCCAGGCCGTCCAGGCCGTCCAGGCCTTCGCCAGGAAGTCCGGTGTCCAGCCCTGAATGGGATGCGGTCGAAATGCTGGATGCGACCCTTCAGCTGAGCCATCTGGCCTTCTCTCCTTCAGCATACTTCAGCTATCTTCAGCTCATAGATATGCGGCATCATGGCATCAACCATGGAAAGAGTTTAGGAACAAAGATGTGCGGAAAGGTGGTCAATCATCAGTTCACATCTCCTAGAAAAGTGATAGCTGCGCTGAAGAAGAGTTGAATTTCAACCCGTTGCAACCCGTGGGCGGTCCATCTTGTGCCCTGAAGCTACCAATGGGGCATCAGCAGGTTCGGCCAAACAAAGCTTCACTTCCGGCCGCTTTTCCTGCGCGAATTTCGAGATGTTTCAAGTGATTTGTGGAGCAAGTTTCAAGTGATTTGTGGAGCAAGGTGTCTTCTTGAGTACTGGCTGCCTTATTCATCTTATTCATCTTATTCTTGCTTCATGTTCGGCATGACTATCATGACTGGTGAGCCGCCCAGGCTGCCACATGAGTGATGCTCTGAGTCTGCTAGGCTCCCCTCCCGAAGAGCTTTCCCAGCACCAGCGTAGGTTCCGCCAGTTCCATAGCCTGTGACAAAGTAGTCCAGGCGGGTGCCTGGAGCGATCTGAAATGCATGCCGCCGCATAGCGCTGGCCAAGCATGCGAACCCTATAGAGACTGATATGACGGCCTGGTGGCCTCTTGAAAATCTGCCCCGTGCCTTCAAAATCATTGAGGATTTCCTGCCCTGTGGTGTCATAGTGGATCTTGGCATTCGCCGGGGTCTCAAACCTCACCAAGTAAAAACAAATACCATGAGAGTCTGTACGATGATCGATTCATGGAGAACCTGCAGCCCAGTGACCCTCCCAACAGGTCGCACATAATTTACACATGCGTCACATATCGACACATGACGTCGCATGTTTCACACCAAGGAACTGGTGGCAAAGTAACCAGCCATGCTCTGCAGCCAGCTCACGTGCCTTCTCGACCATACCAGTGCCCTTCCCACTTTTGGGTGTGAGAATTACTCTCCTCAGTTTGGATCACAAGTAACCATGGCTTGAGTGCAGAATCGCGAAAACTACTGCAAATTCTTTTGCTTGGCTTTGTGGGGCACAAAATAGCGGGCTTTTGTGCGTTTTTGGACATGTCTCTGCCAATTATTAGCGGCCTTTTCGTGCTCTTCCGCGTGCAACACTTGTGATAAACAGCTTTTTTAGTTGCTTTTTGACCATGACCGCACACCCCATGTGGTAAATAACAGCGAATCGTTGCGTTCTTAAACTAGTCTTATTGTGACTGTTAGTGCTCCTTTTCTCTACCGTGGTTTTTGAAGCTTACCTTTTCATAATATGATCTTGAATGCCATAAAATACCCGCCAAACTGCTCCGAGGCGTTTTCCTGGATTAATTAATCCCCTCATGGGCTCCTTCATGCGAAATGCGGAGAAATTGTTAGCTTCAAAACTTGTCGAGAAATTCACTTCTTGTCATGGGGCTCTGCACGCGCACACACTGCTGATAGGCATCACATGGAACTTTGATGAACTTCGATGAACGTTGATGAACGTTGATGAACATTGATGAACATTGATGAGGTTTTATTTCGACTGAGCCATGGTGGACCTGCTGACTTGCAGCAAGTTTCGCACCCAAGAACCGCATTAGTTTCCTGCGCTCAACGGAGAAGGGCTCCGCCATGACCAGGACACATTTGTAGCCACGTTGTGCACAAAGCATAGCCAAACCAATGCCTGTGGATTGTCAGAGCATCTTGGAGCCTGCTGAAATGATCCTGTCCTAAATGATCTGAAATATATTGAAATATGCTTAAGCGACACTTTCGTGAGACATGTGAGACCAACCAAACGCAAACTTGGGCTTTGGAACCCCCTTTGGAAATCCCAAGCAAAGCCGAGAGATGCTGAGATAATTTGTTCTGAACCACACCTGTGTTGCCGCTGGTGGCCTCAACGAGCGTATCGCCTGGTTTCAGTCTTCCTTCTTTCTCTGCCTGGTCACACCCAGATGCTTAGCAAACTCCTTAAACTCCGTGGTCCTTTGTCAAACATTTTGCACATCAAAATCGCTTGAATCTTGCCTGCTCAACGATCCCAATTGCCAGTCTGTCCTGCATGGCGATCATGGTGGGGAACATGCTGGATTCCAATGAACGAGGACATTATCTATCTATCTTTCTATCTATCTATCAATCCATCCATCCATCCATCCATCTATCTATCCATCTATCTACCTATCTATCCTATCCTATCCTAGCCTATCCTAGCCTATCCTATCCTATCCTATCCATCTAATCTAATCTAATCTAATCTATCTATCTATCTATTTATTTGCGGCTGTGACTGAGTTGGGCAGTGGATGAACAGTTTCAAGTGAAAGCCTTGGCCATATAACATATATAACTCCATGTTTTTTTCAAGATGATGCTTTCACCATCTTTCACCTTGACCATTTTCTGTACCCGACTCCTTGACACTACCGAGCGGGTTGAAATACTCGAGCTTCACGTAGATGGTGCGGCCTTTGGGCGCCATCCTATCATTGAGCTTCACGCACGGAGTGTTCCCAATCTTAGTGGAAGCGAATTGAAGGAAGTCAGATGAAGTCAGCAGATTGGAAAGAAAGGTCTAAAAATGTCTAACAGTCTAACATATTCAAAAAATGGCCCACAAGTTCTGATGTCATCTGATGTCAATTCAAGTCAATTCTGCTTCTTTTGGTTGAAGCACTATGGAAACAGAGCAGGAGATGGGGTGAGCCCAGAGTACATGCTTCTGCAATAAGTGTAGACTTACCAAAGGCAAGGGGCGGTCTCCGTAATGTTGTCGAATAGACGGTTTCGACCATGACCACGGTCAAAGATCCCCTGCCACCAATTGAGCGCAAGAGACTGCAGACTTCAGTATAGAGATATCACATGATATCATGATTCAATATGACCCAACGATGCTCGGAAGGCATTTCCGATCGGCATTTCCGATCAATCTCAACAGCAGAATGACACCCTGAAGTCTTTGCATATCAAACTGCCAAATTCGCCTTGGCAGGCTTTGCCGCCATGTTTGTAGCGCTGACTGGCTTGAGCCCCGCATAAATTCGAACAGCAACCCTAGCCATGAACGGCACTGCATGGCCTTGCCAAGTCTTTGTATCGCAGTTAACTCAGTTAACCCAACATAACCCAACTGCCTTTTGAGCTTCGGCATGAGGATGTCCGACAGATGTGCGACGTCCGAGATTGAGCTCAAACTCAGGTCATGGCAGCATCTACCACGAAGTCCAGAAGATCGCGAGCACATCCCATAGCTCTCCTGAAAGGTCTGAAAGAAGCCAACAGCGAAATAAGACAACTTGCTGCGCAATGATCGATGAAGGGAGACTATTCCAAGAAAAACAAACACACACTCAAGGGATCTGGACTGATATGTGCTGGCTCGTGGTTCCCAACCTGCATTTCTTCCCACCTCAGTTCGGAAAACATAAGCAATACTCTCCTTTGGGGATCCTTGGGGGTGTCTGAAGGGAGGGCAAGCGAGGGTCAGGCCACAACATTGTTGCAAAGCTAGCGCCGCCGCTACTGTAAGGTGCCGCAGGAGGTCCTGAGCCTCCCACTTTGAGTTGCGTGAAATGTCTGCTGGATCACTGTCGCGGCAGCATCCGAGAGAGATTCGACACCAACCTCAGAAACACAAAGTAAATTAATGGACATTAGAGTAATTGGCGTGCAAGTCGCGGGTAGAAGCTTCATGCAACGTCTCGATACGTCTCGTATGCTGGCCCATCTTGCATGCTTCACTCAGGGCTCCGGCCTTTGAGAAGAGATCGATGGGCCTTGGCCTCAAGAACTCTTGAATGCTTTTGGTCTTCAACTGTCTTCAGGTTATCTTGCCTAGAGATGCCTAGAGCCGTTTTGACTCTTTGCACATCACCATGTCCCACAAAGTCATACCATATCATCAATATTTCGGAAGATTTCACATTGGCTCGGTGCCCTGCGGCTCTGCATCAACCTCCTCCTTGCTGGTTTATGCCGTAAAGACTCATACAAATCTTGTCTTCAGCTTTGCTGTGTTTGAAGCTCCGTCCGTTTTTATATCTTTTATGCTCGGCTAGTCCCGGTCCTCCTCATCCTTCTTCCCTAACCTTTTCTTTCTCCGCTGCATCTTCTCCAGCAATTGCTGGTGGCGGAACTCCTCAGGAAGGAACACGTGGTGAGAACTCTTCAGAGGCCACAGCATTGACCCCAAGATCCCCAATTGAAGTTAGAAGATGTCAGAAGATGTCAGAAGATGTCAGAAGGAACATGTCTGGCATGGCCTCGGGTTTGATCACGAGCCCGTCCTCCGGACAACTGATATCGGACTGATATCGCTGTGTCTCATGGACTCTCTGTGTGCAATGGGCCCAGTGTTGGAATGACACCTTTGGATCTTTGGATGCAGTTTATGCTCTGCTAAGAGCGCCTCGCCAACTGGCAGCATCCCCAACTTCCAGACGAACGGCAAGATCTTGCTGCCCTGGTCAGGACTGCAACACTGATGCAGAATCCTCTTGGACAATCTTGCAAATATATGAGCCGCCATCAAGACTCTATGTCTTCGCCTTGCTTTAATAAGAAAAAAGGTGTCGCTGGTATAGCTTTTTGTGGTGGGCCATCGCTGACCAAGGTGTTGTACTTTGTACTTATGAAAGACGGAGGAAGAAAGAGGAAAGAAAAAGGAAGGAAGAGGAAGCAGCGCCTCTCGTTCCGGAAGAGGACAGGAAGGGGAAAAGAAAAAAGGAAAGGGACTATCCTATTGTGGTCTGGGGCCACTTTTTGAACAAATGAATATTGCTAAGGTATCGCTACGGGTATCGCTTATTTCGCCTCTTGCATGTACGCAACTTGGTGTAAAACAACTTCGGCTATGGGTAATATGCACAATTATAGGTATCGCTTTTTGAGGGGGGTCTATCGCTACAAAGTGTTTGGTGCGCTTACCAAGAGGGTACTCCCTACATTGGTCGACCAAAGATTTGACCGTCCCTCATGTACATTATGTGCTTGTATGCATATACCGATATACCTTATATATATATATGTACATATTATAATATATATATATATGTATGTATGTAATTTATTGTAATTTTAATTATGATCTATATTGATCTATTATGCCAATCCAGTCTCTCAGCTTCATGGGCGTGGGTTGTTTTGCGGAGGTTCGCACCTTCTGTCCAGAAGTAAGATGAAAAATGAACTGCACCTGGCCAAGAGACCGTTGCTGAACTTCCAAGCACTCTCCAAAACAGAGACTATATGATGAAATATGATGAAAAGCCTTGGAGTGAAGGGCTTGCTGTCGCTTCCAAGATCAAGTGTGTTTCCCGATCCAACATCTGGCAGGAGTGGCAGGCTCTTCGTTTCGCAAATGCTGCATGAGCTCGGCCTTGGCTTTGAAGACCTGACAGGTCTTAAGGCCACACTCATGGAATCCCTGGACATTCTGGACCTGTGCAAGTCTGCAGAACAACGACAACAGCACCATGAAATGATGAACTATGATGCATATGATAAAATATGATAAAATATGGAAAAATGTAGTGGATTCAGATGGCTTCTACAGATTCTTCATACTCTGTAGCCATCCAAAGGCTTGAAGAATTAGGCAAGTGCTACAGTTGCGAGACAAGAACACACCTAACATTGCGACAGGGCAGCAAGTCCAAGGAAAACGAGCCAAAGGAAAAAGACAATGTCAAACACTGTGTGATACTGGGGGATCTTGCAAGTTGTGGCTGCCCTGGAGCCTTCATCTGGCGCTGAAGCAACCGAACCGAAGAAGTGTATTTCCTTGCTCGATTAACTGGCTTGGGGTCAAGCTGACAAGAGTTGGCCACTGTGAGGTATGAACCTTTTCCGACAGAGCTATCAAGTTCCGGAATGAATATACACACACATATATGTATATAATATAAGACTCGTCTTAGTAAGTACAATGCTTTATTGCACCATTGCACCTTCTCGCTGACAGAAGCACAGCAATGAGGACCGCGCAATCTGCGAAGCTCTTTGACCTAAATCGAATCATGGGAAAAAATTTAAAAAATACGGACGTAGGGAAAGCGGTAAATTGTACAAAGGGTGAAACGATGTGAAACGTACACTGTATGCCACAGGCATCACTACATCCTCAAAAGCAATGCTGCCTGGAAATGTCTGGAATAATCGGTCTAAGTCAGCTGTGGCCCAACTGAGAGACCGACCCGTCTCCTAGCTATCCACTGCCTTATGTGACACCTTAGAAGTGACAGAAGTGTCTGCATGTCACTCTTCTCAACTTGATCGCATAAGATTCGACTTTGACGCTGAGTTTGCAGGCTGAATCGAGATGATGACCTGTGGCGGAAAAAATCATTGTATCCATGTGATCACACCCTGGCAGACTTTCTTGTATCGCCTAGTCTATCAGACAGCCCCGAAAATAAAACGGGAGCAGGACAAAGCCAATTCAATCCGAGCCTGCTTCAATTTCACAAACGTAGCATAGGCGCCCATCTTCTCCGAATCTGCAAGCCGATCATTTGGAAAAATCGCTGGCCACGCAGAAATGTCCGCTGAATTACTCTAGCATACTCTAGCGTTTTATACTGAAAACGATTGCGGGTCAGTTGTGCTGTTTGAAGATGCGCAAAGCATCTCCGAATGTGACCAAGGCACAGAGTTTTCTTGCAGCCATTGAGCGTGCCCAGCACCTTGGAGACAAAAGCTCAAGTGGCATCCAAGCTGCTCAGAGAATACAGATGTGACCCCTGGTGTCCTGCTGGAATCTGCTGGTGCAAATAAGAAAAGGGACGCAGAATGACGCAAAAGTGAAGGTCAGCCCAGCCATACAAAGACCAGCACTGGAGCCGGATGCAAGCCTGTATCCTCGCCTGTCTTGCAGCCTGGCTGTTGCCCGGAAACATCTCTCCATAGATCTTTGAGTCTCACATGGAATGCAATAATTGTGTGCTCTCTTGGGCACTTGCCTTGACATCTGCCAAAGTAGACAACCAATGGCGCAAAGATCTCTGAATCCTGAGCCAAGATCAAGACTCTGAAGTCTTCAGTATCACAACTTGCTGCACCTGTGGCATTCTTGTTGTCAGGATTATGGCGAATGCAGCTGTATGCAACTGCGAACTGGGCTTGATGGTGTTCTGGATCAAAAAGCGGCGGTGGTCCCGCATAGGTCTGGTTCCAGCTGTGCTATGTCTTCAAATCCACAGCAAAGCAACACAGTAACCAGTTTGAGATATGTTGATTTGGTAATGAGTGATGCCGACAGTAAAACATGGAAAATATTGAGAAAACGACAACCAGTTGCAATGTAACATCTTTCAAACATAGCACATGTTCATCGCCTGTATCGACGCCGTGCCAAAAGGCCTCGAATATGTGCCTGACACGGAATTGTTCTTGCTAGAGTGCATCTACACATCTCATCACATCCTACAGGTGCATCCTCCTTTCTGAGAGGTACGGTAGGTGAGCATTCAATTCCGCACATCACCCACAAGCGACGTCCTAGTTCAACAGCATACTTTCGCGCCAAAGCCCCGTTACTGTACAGGATCGTGATGGATCTTGCAACGCCTGCATTTTCTAAGCAGTGCTACGAAACAAAAGACAAGCCCCGCCTGGATCCGTGTAGCTGCACGATTGCGCCGGTGTGAGGAAGTGACTTGTAAGACCTGATTGAGTCACTGTACGGATCCACATCCCTCTCCTTGATCCAACAAACATAAACAAAATCCTGCTCCAGTCTCATGCAGGAGCAGCATGCAACAGCATGTAACTTTTCTGCACAGTTTCATGAGTCTCACTCCCTCGAACTAGCTAACGCGGGAAGCTTGTTCCAGCAAATGAACATGTGCAACTCCAGGCCCTGTTGAATCCAGGTTGTCGCATGCTTCGACACTTGTGGAACGTCCAGCGTTCTGTTTGCAGCCTCTTGGACCTAAAGCCATGAAAATCATTCAAGATCTAGCAACTTTGCAATCCCCAGAAATGGTTGGATCTGGAACAAGCCAGCTCCCGTTGCTATGCCTTTATGGCAGAGATCTTCAACATGCCATCTGACTGGGCCCTCATAGCCCTGTGGCTCACTGAAGTCCGGTCATACTGCGTCTACCCTTCCCAGCTCTCAACAGAAAGAGGAAGTACAAACAAAGTTGTTGGAGGTATGAAGAAGAGATAACGACACATAACGAGAGAATGGCTGCCTTATGCTGCCTTGCTATCATTGACTATCCGACTATCCTTGGTAAATCAACCTGACGGTGGCTTGCTGAGAAATGCCGGGAACAGCCTTGCAAGTTGCCCCTCAACATACATCAAACAATCAGAGCCAACAACAGCTTTTGGAAGAACGTACAAATGCTTTCGGGACATTCACTAGCCCTGTTGCAAGGTGCTATATATTGCGATGGTTTTACAATGTTTCAAACGCACTATTCATGATCTGAGGGTTTTCTTATTGGCGATTCACCTCCAGCTCACTGTTTCTGCACTGCGGGTGTCCTTGTCCGCCCTTTGTCAAAAACATGAAGCTCTTGCAAAATGTTATGCCCACAGACGTGCTTTATTTTGTTCAACTCTGGGTTGTGAGGCTTTCCAGCATCTCTAATTTCTGTCTATGATTTACATCACATCAGTTGATGTACAACAAAAACATACAAATACATACAAATATATACCATATACTATACATGCGAGATGTCTCGCATCAGGACGCAAAACACACCACCACAGTCAAGCTTCGGGAGTGAAGCACAGACATGCTGCTGTACAAGTTTCGCACGCCATCAATTGAAACTGGACCGTGGCTCTGGCAGTGACTACCTTTAGAATGGAGGGCTCTCGGGCTTCTTTTATCATCCTTTATCATCTTTTGTCTAAGAATAGCTGAAACAAATTCAGGAAAGTCATGACAAAGTTCAAGTCATGACCTTTTCTGCTTTCAAAGTCAATCCAAACAGAGGACCAATATGGACCAATATTCTACTTTCAAAATCTTTCAATCTGGGTCACGGCATCACTGGGCCAGAGTCCTTTCAGCTCTCAATGCTCTCAGCATCAACCGAAACGCTAGCCCTTGAAGGTGAAAGGCTGTGGTAGCCGTTGCACCGCCAAGTTTTGTGGGCCAGTTCGATGCTGAGACAAGCATCTGTCAACGCCGGCGCGCACGATCTATAGAATATACATCTTGTAAATATTTGATTGAACATGATTGAACAGCAACTACTGCAGTAATACTGGAGCTGAGCCATGCCCGTCTCAAGTGTGAAGTTTATCATGAGATGTGCCCCGGCATGCTCCACACACACACGCACGCCTACCAGCAGAAGGCTTCTTTTTCCTTTCAGCATCGGCACTATCCAAAGCATCTGCCACAAGATATTCACAAATGTTCCATATTGTTCCATGTTGTTCCATGTTGCCAGTCTTGACGAAATAGGACCGCGTTACACGCATGCACAAACTTGAGCACTTGCGCAATCTTCCCCGACCGGAACCACAACGAAATACGAGCCAATATCTAACTTCTACATACTTCTACCAAATAGCTGGCGCGCCCTATTCCATCTATTCCTGCTTTTATTTGTGTTACAGCCCTTTTTATTCAAAGCAGTATCCGCCGCGATGATAAACGATGATAAACGTCTATCTGATCTCTTTTGTATACGTTTGTATTCCTCGTTCTCTACCGCTACCTTTTGGATCCTATTTTTCCTGATCCCCTGCGAAAATAGAGTTTCTTCACAATCGCCGGAGCACTGCTTCTTACAACAATCCCCTCCATTGACAATTTTGTGACCCAAAAGTACCCGAAAGAAAGACATGTGAGACAACTATCGAACCCCTGTGCCAAACTGATGTTGGGATAGGCCGATGATGGCCGATGTGCATTTGCACTCAAATCAGGTCAGCAATGTCCTTGGACAATTCAGCTTGAGCTTGGCTATTCAACGCAATGCCAAAAATTGCACGAAGCAAAGCAAGTTTTGCAGTAGAGTGACTGCTGGCATCTCCTCAATTTGAGTGTGGTAGAACTTTTCGATGTCCTTCCTGGCAGCACCGCGAAACTGTTTGATGTCTAGCCGTCTAGGTGCTTCTTTCAATGTAGGTGCCCGTCTACATCTCGACCTACCTTGACCTCTTCTAGGCTGTTGCCGTGCTTGGGACGTAGTGGGCCTTCTACTAGTTGATCTATATTATAGAGTGTATAATTAAGTATAGTTAATCTAGTTGAATCTTGACAAACATGGACGATGGTTGCTGCAGGAAGTGCACAGCCATTTGGGAAATTTGACACTTGACTTGGTCATAAAATGATATAAAATTGTAATTGCATAAATCCATCGAGCATTTGTGGGAACTACTCATCCGTGGCCTGGCAGTAGTCTTATGATGGTCTATGCAGTGGTTGCCTGGACCCATACCTACCCTGTTACCCTGTTGTGGCTGGACTCTGCCAGTAGTCGCCTCAGTAGTGCCCATTTTTCAGATCCCTAGCCTAACACGAAAGTGCCGAAACATGTGCCGCGTGATAGTAATGATAGCGTCAGGAAAAGTAGGAAAACTGACAAGTTGAAACATGAATGTGAAGTTGACTCCGGAAGTTCAAATATGATAGAATGTCCATGAATGCCCCAATATGTCCCAATCATACGACTGGAACACTCTTGCACAAGCATCAGAATGAGTACATTTCAGTAATCATATCATTCCTTGCACCTGGATGTTCCTGGATGGGCATTTCTTGCCTGCTGGCAAGCGTCATGGTCCTCACATCGTTGTTTGTCACGAAATTGATGGCAACACCCTTTCGACCAAATCGGCCGCTTCGACCAATCCGATGGAGGTAGTTCTCCATGTTTGCCTCATTGTCAGCAGATGTCAGCAGCACCCTCCCAGATCTCCCAGCCTCAAACGGCCCTGATCTGCAAACCAATAGTTGATTCCAGCAGAGCGACCGGAAGGTCATAGTTGATGACGAGAGACACCTTGCAAAGATCTTTTCGGAACAAGTGTCGCAATGGTGCTCCCTGAATGCTTGCTTTGAGCGCCGGTCATGCCTGCTGCACATCGATTCCGCGAGCGAGCAAATCGGTAGAAATGAGCACTCGGGAGGAACCCGAGCGAAACTCACCTGTGCTGGGGTAGCAGCTGTCGACCATGCAACGAACCCCTCCATGCATGTACACTGCACGATCTGTAATCACCATTAATTATCATCATGAAAAACATTGAAAAACAATGAAATCTATCCAGCTCATCGAACCATCACAACAGTCCCTGACCATCACATTGCATCACATTGCCAAATGCATACCATGTCCTCAATTACGAAATACTGACAAGCACTACATTGCGTAACACATCGTAACACATATGTACACATACAGCATGCCTCTGCTTGTTCCCAACACATTTTCCTTTGCTTCTGCTTTCATGTCTGCCAAAGTCTGTACTATGCTTTTGTCTTGATAGTTTTTCCCCGAATGACAGCATTGTTTTCGTCATTTTATCTCTTGTTAATCGTCTTCTGCGTGAGTTGATTTGACATCTTACTTTTGTGAAGTCTGGAAGAGTCTGGATGTCTGAAGGCAGAGCGCGCATATTGGGAGTAGCTGTAGCAGTCTAAAGCGGTCTGCTGAGTCTACCTGCCTGACTCTAAGCAAATACATGTCTTGAATCACAACCAATACAACGGTAGCTATGAGGCACCTGCACACACAAACACTCACTGTACTGTTCTGCTTGGACGTTGTTCTCCTGTAGGGCTTCTGGGTTGGAAGCTCTGGCTTTGCTTCCACATGCCCTGTGGATCCCTGTGGCACATTCTGCAGCAACTGCTTGGAACTTACGTGAGATATGATAAGATGTGATAAGCTTCCAAAATGCTTGGGGATAACTCATGATCAATTCATATCGCCACCGAGCTGCGCATCACCAAATCGCGCTCTTTCTGGTCAAGATCAGCATGCATGCAGGACACTGTGAAGTCGCGTTTCACCAGCTGGTCTTGCAAGAAGTCGACCTGTCAAACTGATTCAAACGCGTCCCAAGCATCTGAAAGCTGACAACAAACACCACACATTTACGTACTGTTCTTACGTACATGTAGGCACATATGCATATGATGTAATATTATATATATATATGATTATATGATTATATATGTACGCACTCATGCATTTCTTTGTATAAATGGATAGTTGACTTATTCATCCCTTTATCTATCGCATTCTATGTTCTATCTGTGTGTGTGTGTGCGTGCACGGACGTGAAGATATGCGCATATGTTTTTGGTACAATTTCCGCAATTTTCCATTCCACCAGCTAGACCCATCGCTGTTTCACCCGCCTTGCGTCGTGTGTTACAGTAAATGATGGCTTGAGTGATGGTCAATGTCTCGTAAAGGTCACAGAGAGTGTCCACTTTCCATTCCTCTTTCCTCAGCTTGGCATCTCATACATTCTCATACTGCATCTGATGAACCTGGATGAACCTGGACAGCAAAGTCAAGGTCGCCATCCACAAAAATGTGAACTGACAACTCTCCAGGCGTCTCAATTGCCACATAGAACTGCCGGATACCTTCCAGGGTCAGTTCATCCTGCCAAACGCTTAGTGGAGATGGATCAAGGATCAGGAAACTCAGGAAGGATGATCAAAATGTTGGCAGATGTTGGCAACTACCAGTCCACGCACAATGGAAAAGTGATGCAAAGTGGCAATGACCGTCCTTCTTCACCAAAATGCGCACGGCATTTCGCATAAACTTGGAGGTCATGTCCAAGATCTCTGGTGCCATGGTGGCAGAGAAAAGACATACCTGAACACAAAATGGAAATGAGGAATAGCCAGGAATAGCCAGGAGCGAAACTCTGCACCTTCACATCCTTCACATCCTTCACGCAATGAATCAGACCGCATCAGTACTGGTCATAACAGATCACTTCCTTATCTTTGGCGCCGCAGCGCCTGAACATCTGGCGGAAGGCACTTGAAAATGTCGTAGATCTGGTCCTTCAGAGCCGAGGCACGAGCGATGAAAAGAAACAAATACGAGGACATCTACATCATCTGTATTCTATGAATTCTAAGACCGAAGTGACATCCATTGTTGACAAATGCACTTGAAACATCTCGAAACCACTTTTTTTTGATGTTTTTTTTGCTTTGTTTGCTCCTTGAAACCACGTGACATCAACTCATCGGCCTGCAATTTCACCATGTGAGCTGTCTGCGCACAAAACACCACAAAACATATCCCTTGAAATCCTTTGAAGCAGCAAACTTTGAAGAAACAATTTGGGAAATCGTAAAGGAATGAAGCCTCATCAAGGACAAAGACCTTCAGATCATCGACACGCAGGTTGTTCCTAAGCCCATGCATATAAGATGAAAAACATAGAAACAACTATGACATGATAAAACACTATAAAATACGTTGCCGGCACATGAAATGACACTTTTAAGGGCAATAGACGCCAAGAGCTGAGAGCCTGAAAAAATTATGCTGGTATCACAGAGGCAACAATTGCAGTACAATTTGATTCACAAGCCCACAAGCCTTTGATCACATGCGAACAGGTAACAAGGACATGAATTGCGATGAATCACGATATATCATGACACATGATATATCATGATGAATCATGATCATCTTTCACATTAAAAATGCTTCTTGGGCTCTTGTTGACCATGTCGAAGACGCGGCCAGGCGTTCCAACAACCATGTGTTGGCCAGCTCGGAGCCTCTCCACATCATCCTTGATGGCTGTGCCTCCAATGCCTCAACAGAAGCTGCGACACCACGGTGCCACGGGACACCAAAAAACTGGCAGACTGGCACCGGCTAACTTTCATTAACTTTCCACAAATGGCTCCGTGCTGCCATTGTCCCGACCAGATCTTCTCCGATCATGTCTCGATTCTCTCCGTGATTCCTGTTCCACAGAACGTTAACCTTGCAGAAACACCGTGGGGTAGTTACTAGTTACTGTAATGTATGTTAATGGTATTTATATAATGGTAATTTAATGTATATGGTTTCCATCAAGATGTATCAGCTTTACAGCTTTACCATCAAGACAAGGTGCAGACATGCGCCTTGACTTTCAGGTAGTCTCCAAGGGCCAAGGCAACTTTGTAGATCTGATTCGCCAGCTCCTGATGTTTACACATGTTTCACGTTGCACAACGCCATACAATCCCCGCCTCTCGGCTCAATGCCTTCAGATGTGTTTACTGTGACTTTGTCCCTGATAACCAAAACATATACTTGTAACATCTTGTAACAAACACTTCACACATTCGGGAATGCCTTTCTCTGCTGTCGCGCTGTCGGTGTTCACCCTCGATACAAATTGCCACACATTGATGCACTATGCACATCATGACATATTATACATTCGACAGCACCCTCTGCAATATCAATGCGTCTGAGCTTCTCTGGTAGGTGCCAACATCAGTGCTTGACAACGGCTCACGGAATAGTCAATTCGCTGCAGTGCCCCAATAACGAAGGTTGCAGTCTTGCCAGTGCCTCTCCACATCTTAGCAAGACAAACTTCGTCTCACTGAAGCTGGTGGTCATGATATCACATGCTAATCGCCTCTCTGCTACATCGCTGACATCCTATGCATCTTATATTAAACATTATTAAACTATATTAAATTAATATTAAATTACACATGCACACGGACACATACACACACACATCGTGCATATACAAATATACGCACTGTGAGTGTCTATCCGTCTATCCGCCCATCCATCCATGCATTCATCTATCTATTATCTAAATGCATTATTATATACGGTACACACACATATACATATAGAAAAAAACCTAGACCTAGACACTCTTTGCTTTCATCATTGTGCTGCCCTTGCTGCTAACCCTTGCTCGGCCTGATTGCGCCTGTCCAATTGTGTCACGGCCATCCAGGATGGGCTTGATGCCACGCTGTTGGATAGCACTTGGCTTTTCAAAGCCATAAGAGTAGATACCTGGCAAAACATGGAAAAACTCCGCTATACTCCGTTTATTCTGGCCAGGCTGCAAACACTCTGATGCAAAGCAATGCAAGAGATTGCGGATGAAAGGTCTGCAATGACTACTAAAAACAACAATGACGTGCTGCCATTTACATGCTCAAGTTATCTAAAGACAGCACTAAAATGCACTCAGATTATCTACGGCCAGCACTGTAGCATTCAGAAGAAATCTCTGACTAGCCTACTACGGTTGAAGGCTGGTGCCGCATATTATCTTCTTCCAATCAAGTTTGATAGAAGATCATAAGGGTAATGAAATGGTAAAAGATGGGATACACGCAGCCTCTCAAGAGGTTCTCATCCAGGTCATAGTCATCAAAGGACTCGAACACTGGATACCTTAGCTGGACTTTTGCAGTCGGTGCATATGCTCGCCAATCCATCTGCTGAGAGTGGAAACTTTACCTTTTAACCTCTCAAATGAAAAGGAGGCAACCTGACAACGTCAAAGGATACGTGTGCGTTGCAAACAGGAAGCTCCTCAGCACCAGTCACGGTGACTCCTTCGGAATTCATGGCTGGCTCTCTCCCCCCAAACCTTGCACCTCACTGGTGCAAAGCTATCCCCAACTCGCTTGATGAAATGGCTCACTGCAGCGGGCAACAAATGCTGTGCGCGACCAGGCAGATCGGCCGAACAAACTCAGACTGAACACCTTCACACATTTTCCAACAATAGTTCATGGCACGAGGCTATTTGATGTTCATTGATGATCATTTATCCCACCACATTAATTATCCACATTCCTTTTTAAATGTTCAAAATGTTCAAAGCATTCAAACCGTATTCCAAACATGCCATGAGTCATGCGGCATGCGCTGAGGCTGTGGCGCATTCCTTCACGTGAGTGCCAGGCACTGCAGTACGCACGGTGAGTCGCAGCTTCCTCGAGTCGCACTTCGCTGCAAGAATCCGAATGAATCCGGCAAATCTGAAGGAATTCTGAAGGGCAGGATATTGCTAGCGAATTAACATTATCAATCTACATCAATCTACAGTAAATCCAACAAATCACTCAAGCTTGAATCAAACACTCGACAAATCAGGAGAGCACCCCTTCAAGTCTGGCGGAACCCGATTCAAACCTGAAGCGGCCGGTGTATGTCTGTCGCTGTCAAGGTCTCATTAAATGCACATTGGAAAGGTGGCAAGTCGCATGGTGGTGTGGGTAGAGTGCTGATGAGTAAGCAACTTTGCTTCAGTTCGTCTAATTAGTGCAAACATCGGAAAACATATGTCAAGAAACATCGCAACTTGTTAATTTGATGATCACTAAAGCAAATCCACACATCTGTATGCATACATGCATACACCCATACAGTATGTCACATACATACAATGGTCTTTGCGTTTGGTGGTATCATCTCTTTGGAGCATCCAAAGGGTGACCCGAGCAGCAGTCAGAAGTTTTGCATTTGGGTGTCAAGCTTGATGCGTTGGACTTTGAAGGGCCCGGATCTGCAGACCAGCACTTTTCTGCAAGGCCCTCTCGGCCAATGCGCACCGAAGCCTACCACTATGTTGCTGGGCCGACTGCGATCCTTTGCCGTGAAGGTTTTTGGCAGTTACGACATGTCCTGGCGACCCACAACCTTTCTCGGAGGGTTCGATGCCCATAGCAAAACATGGAAGACCTCACGTGCTAAGGTTTACCCGACGCGTTTCTCCAGGGCCATTGCAGAGGCTCATTTGATCCATGCAGCCAGCTTGGATGTGGAAGGGACCGAAGAAGAACCTCAGGGACTGGAACGAGCCTTAGAGAAGTTGGCATCGGTTCTTGACTCTTACGATGGTTCTACCACTGGGGCAATGCAGGCCGATATAGGCCGATTATCACAGAGGTCGTGGTGCGAGGTCTGGCTCGTCTTAGTGGAGCTCCGCTGAGTAGGCATCCCAAAGCGTATGAACTGAATTGAACTGAAGGGCGTTGAGCGAAATGGATGCATTTCAATAGACCTGCTCACAGCGAGCTTTTGGGTCTGTTTCTGCGTGCAGGCGGCTAGACAGCCACGGGCGAAGTGGAATAAAAAATGTATGTTATTAATGATATATTTAATTTTATTTAAATGCACACATGTACACACAATTACGCACTTATACACATGCCAAAGCAGTCTAGGAATGCATGTGAATATCCCAAAGTACGTGTTTGAGTGTGTGTGTCTGTTGTCCATCGCATCCATGCATGCAGTTAGACGTTGCGCGTATACATTGTGTATGTAATTGTATGTATTCTCAATATTCAGAGATTGCAGAACCATGTTTGACCAGATCCGCTTTGCAGGTCATCATGTCGTTATGTCATCTGCCCAGCTTAGTGCCATGCATCGCTTCGCCGACAGGAGTCGGGCTTTTCGCCTGGCGCTTTGCCCGGAGGGGAGATGTATACGATGTATACCTCCAAAGGTACAGTATACCCAAAGATCTCAAATATGCCTGATGCGCCTGAAAAGTATCGAACAAAATCGGACCAACATCTCAAAATAGTTCGATATAGTTCGATGTTGGACAAACATATGCTCAAAACGCGCCCAAAACAGTGCCTTGCAAGCATAACCCGCACAGCTGCCTGGATGTGGAAAGCTATGGAACGCTTGGCCATCTGCTCTGCTTTTGGGTGAATGTGCAATGCTTTGAAAGCCTACAAAAACCCCTTCCACCCCGACAAACGGTGGCCTGCATGCGTGTCACTGATCTCATAGCTTTGTTCTCAGCTTCCTGGCAGGGAAGGCCACCAGGAAAATGCTTCAGAATGTCACTTGCATTGCAGCATGCGATGCTGTATGTCCAGTTTTGCCTCCTAGCTTCAGCATGTGTCACATGGTCGTCAAACTATGTTAAGCTCAAGCACAAAATGTTGCCTCCTGCTGGCGCTGCAGCTCTGCTGCATTGACGATGGGATCCTCAGTACAAAGTGGTGTAACCATACAAATAGCCACAAACACAAATACATAGACATCATAGACACATAATGACACATACATTGGAATCACCGCCTGTAAAAGCACGCGTGGCTCTCTCCCGCTCTCCTCTAACCCTGCCCTGCTCTCCCCCTCTCTCTCTCCCTCCCTCTCTCTCTCTCTCTATAACCACTTGAAGGTCAACTTGAAGGTTGCAAATACAATGGAACAGGATGTTGAAAGGATGACCAAACAAAGCTGCAGGCTGTCGCTCGGGGGGCCAAAGCCAGCAGCGGCAACTTCTCCTTCATCATGTTCACAAACCTGGAACTTTCAACAGACTAAGTACATCCAAGTACAATGAGGCCGTTGTCTGGACTTATGTGTGCCCACACATCTTTGCACTGTGGCTTTAGTCTCTATCCTTGACAAGCAAGGGCCAGGTAAGATGACGGAAAGTGGTACCCTGCCTGATGCGTGTATACAAGCTATGATACGTGGTGTGGCGTGGGTCGTCAAAAAGGCTCTCTTCGGTCTTGCGGTTGAAAAAGAACCTTAGCCCAGAATGCCAGGATATTGATTGAGGTGATGAGAATCAAATCAGGTGGTCTACGCCCGAGCTCTGTGCTTGTGCCCGCTGTCATCATACAGCTCCATCCAGTCAGCCCTCAGATGTTGCGTTCTTGGCAAAAGCACGCAGCAGTATGGCGCGTTCAAGCACGAAGGACGCGGAAAAACTGAAAACATATTGAAACAAACAAACTATTTCACATATCTTCCACATACTGTAGCTGATTCCTGATGCCCCTATCACATCATATCGCATCAAGCCCTTGAAGCCCTGAGTTCCCTGCAAGCTAGCCCGAATCTGTTCCTCCATCTCAGCCTCGTCACGGAAACATCGAATGACAAACGACAAACATCGCAACATATGCACAATCCAACAGTATCCAACTGTATCCAACATTGATGTACCATGGCATTCCATGGCATTCTATGGCTTTGTATCAGCTTATCATGGCAAATCCAATGGCAAACATGTCTGAAGCGTGCAACAATGCGGCCACGTTTTGATCGTTTCAAAGGCACAACAGCCATCAACGTCTGAGGGCCATGGCCAGCTCCTCATCAATGTCCCAGAAGCCACCTGCCTTGATGGCTCTCCTGCGGGATCCACGGGAATCCGGCCAAATGTGAAATTACCCGGGCATTTCTCTCCCGGATCTTTTTAATGTATTTTTAAACATGTTCACCAACGTGTGCATTTTTGGAAAAAATCATTCCTTCACTTGTGTCTCAACGCAAAGAAGAGGGTCCGCAATGTGCCTCCAGTAGTTGGCAATCTCCACAAATTCCTTGGCATATCTTGGCATCAACAAATTTCTGCCACGGCCAGCTGCGGCCAGCTTTCGTGAAACAATCTATCACTACGGGCTTGACCTGTTGAACGTGAGCACATAGGAGAAACACATAGAAAGAAGATGAAAAAATGGATGTCAATTACTTCCATGACTGAGGGACTCAAAGTCATTCATCAACATCCCGTGCATGTGCCCGGCATAGGCCGTGGCCTGGTCAAGCGGGTGCTTCCAAAGGGACTCCCGTCGGTTTGTGTTGTAAAAGTAGGTCCGGCCTTCCCACGCAGCATGTTTCCATACCAGCTGATAGAACATGAAAAAACGAAGTCAAAGAGAAACATTATGAAATCATTGAATTCATGAACATTATCTAAATTATCTGCAAACATATTTACCGGCTTGGGGTCCCAGGCCATTCTCATCTTCATGTTCAGTCCAGCCGGGAGGCAAGGATGCATTGTATGCCTATTTGCAAGTCGCAAGTGCCGCTTTGCGAGTTTCCGTGTTTTCACGTCTCGGTTGTGCATGACTGGTGCAGCAGTTGTTTTTTTGGACATGTTTGACTCAGTCCTTATAAAATGAAACGTAGCGTGCAAAAAGTGCTGTCTGCAGCCCAAACCCAGCCTCTTCGGCAATCCAGACCATATCTGCTTCTCTGATGTGATCGATTCCCAGACTATGGACCTGTCAGTGCACAGAGATGCACCAAATCACCAAGCAGACTGGACGCTCAAAACACTGGGGCAGCTACGTACGAGAGCATTTCCAGCACATTTGCCTGCAAACAATGCTGGGATCTGCCAAACGCGCACAAAGTTTCACGGCATCGCACAAACACAACGGGAAAACTGCGAGTTGTGCGGTCATTTGTTTACAGTTTTCTGAAGTCTTGACCAACACACCACACCTTTCTCTTCACGGGATTGACGATGGATGTTGCTGGCCTTGGGCGCAGGCGTTTCTCCTTACAGAGTACCATCTCAACACTTTTGAACTTGTAAAAAGTTTGGCGTTTCTTTTCTCCAAAATGTAATTTCCCTCTTTCTCTCTCTCTCTCTCTCACTGTCTTTCCTCACAAGAGATCATGCACCAGCACCGGGGCCACTGGCTTCCCCGCTAAGCGCACCGGGGCGGTCGACATGGCCTGACAGCATCAATGTTGGGTGGTCAATTGCTCAACACCCGCGATGTATATCTAACACATGCAAACGCAAACACATTCCCACAAACACACACAGACTACATATATATATATATATAAATATGTGTGTGTGTAATATGTGTGTGCACGCATATATATAATATATATATATATGTATATGCACACGCACACCTACGCACATGCATATCATCCTATATCTATATCTGTCTGTGCGTGTCGTGTGTCGTACACCGTGTGTTATTGGGCGTATTGGAATATGATAGGGAAATAAGATGGATAATATATGTATATGTAAATATGTAAAAATGTATAATATACAAATATGTATATATGTATATATGTATATATGTATATATGTATATATGTATATATGTAAATATGTATATATGTATATATGTATATATGTAAATATGTATAAATGTGTATCTATGTAAAAATATGTATATATATGTATAAATATGTATATATGTATATATTTGAAAATGTAAATCTGTATATATGTATATATGTATATATGTATATATGTATAAATGTGTATCTATGTAAAAATATGTATATATATGTATAAATATGTATCTATGTATATATTTGAAAATGTAAATCTGTATATATGTATATATGTATATATGTATATATGTATATATGTAAATATGTATATATGT